AAAAGTGTGAAACAACAGAAAATATGTCTGATATTCTAAGTTCCTTTTGCTGTGATTACTGCTTCGCACACTCTTGGCATTCTCTTGGTGTAAATTTCTAGCATACTGTAGTGTGTCACATTGAACAGGATTAATGTTACGCCGATGTGGTAGGTGGCGCTAGGTCATGGTTGCCATCTGCCAGTACGCCAGAAGAAGAAGAAGAAGCTACATAGCTAATTAGCACATTACTGATTCAAGGGGCCTATTTTTCTCTCGATTTGGCATGTAAAATATCAAGAATATCTAGAACCAAGACTGCATTCCACTGTTCCCATTGTTCTCCCAGTTTTGGCGGCAGCTTTGTGAGAATGAAGGTGAAGATCAGACAGTGGAGTGGAGTGGCCTCCTGGTCCTGGGTGGCTAACGATGACAACTGCGGCATCTGCAGGATGCCTTTCAACGGCTGCTGTCCGGACTGTGAGTATCTGAGCAGGAATCCTGTCCAGGAGTTTAAATTCCCTTTCTACCAGAGCACATGTGGTAGATAATAATCACGTTCTAAACTATTGGCCTTAACTGCCTGACTGTTTATTTAGTTCTCTCTGAATCCTCATTCAAATATTGTTGTATCAGATTCGTGACCACAGCAATGTGAGGAATTGTGCAATAAAAATGCTGTATAATAGAAATAGTAAAGTAGATATAAAAAATAAAAAATCCAGTATAATATTGATAACCATTTGAATACTTTGACATTCTGGTTTGCTTTGTTTAAATGTAGAATAAACTTCATGGGAGTAACTTTAACTATTTACAACATATTATACGTATCTGCTTTGTTATTATTAAAATAAGTGTTTAGGTTAAGATCTGACTTGTAATTTAGTACATAGGTATACCTAGTCATAATTAATGAACTGATCCAATAACTGGCACTGACTTGGGTGAAAAGAGGAACAACAGTTATCATCATGTGGTTGTATGTGTGTGTGTGTGGATAAACATCTGTTTGTAAATTAATAGATACAAGCCTGCCATTTATATAACCCACAGCAACAGGCTTTATATGTAACATGGGGCTAGATGTTGAAAGTGATTGATTTTTGTTCTACATATTTTTGCAGGTAAAGTTCCTGGAGATGACTGCCCGCTGGTCTGGGGTCAGTGCTCTCACTGTTTCCACATGCACTGCATCCTGAAGTGGTTGAACTCACAGCAGGTCCAGCAACAGTGCCCCATGTGTCGTCAGGAATGGAAGTTTAAAGAGTGACTCCCTCTCGGTGCACCAAAAAATGGACGCCTTACAGAACCTTTTTTGTTTACCACTGTATCTGAGTTTGATTTTGTTTATAATAGTTGTATTTTTGGTTTCATTTGTTGGAGAAAAAAAGTCTTTAAATACAGAATGTGTTTTTTATAACAATATGATTTGGATAAAAGGATTAATTGGCGTTTGCTGTCTGTGGAAAGCCTGTTTTATATTTAATTATTCTGACAAAGACCTTTTTTAGGATATGTTTTGTAAGTATGTGAGGAAAATTAGCTTCAGTTTTCAAGTTTCTTTTTTTTTTTTTAAATCAGACCCAAATCCCAATATCAATTCTTGTAGTTTCTTACTTCTACTCTGGCATTCTCATACAGTTTTAATAATGCAAATATATATTTTTTTATTAAACTGATACTGAAAATAAAAAAAAGTCAGAATTCTGAGAGATACTGAAAATAAAAAAAAGTAAGGAATTTGGCACAATCACGGTATTTGACTGTATTATCAAACAGTGACTCACTGGGCTTCCTCATTTGGTCTTTGCTACAAAGCAAACAGTTCAGTCCATGAACACCATTGAGAGGTCAGCTGCTGAGATACAGAGAAGTGACAAACTTTAGACACATGATTGTGTTAGTTGTATCAATTTAGACAATAAATGAACAAGCATTCAGTTAATGCTCAGGTTTGATAAGGCTGATAAAATCCCAACTGAGCAGACCCAAAGGCTTACTAAAGCTGATTACACAGCAAAGAAAAGGTTAAAAGGCATACAGCACATGTTACAAAAGGCCCTGGAACCAAATAACTCAGGCTGGAACTGATGAAAAATGTTTAGAATTTTTAAAAATGTTTTAAAATAAAAAAAGACAGAAACAAGAAATTAGGATTTTAATAATTTTAGGGTTTATTTTGCAGTTTATTTAGTCCAGTTCAATTTAAACCTATTATCTTTTGTAAGTAATGTGTTGAAAGAATAAGGATGTCTTTTAGGTTTGAAATGTTGTCACTAGATGTCGCTGTTGCCCATTTTTCTTTTGTCATGAAGCACTAATCACCTCTCATATTCAAGAACAATGAGTATTAACTGAAAATACTTCTTTCTGATTATAAAAAATATATTCTTTGTTCCTGTTGTCATGCAAATAAGCATCCATTCAAAGTTCTGTTTTTTTTTTTGGTACATTTTTTTGTTCTTGAGAGCATAAAATCGTGTACCCCAGAGTTTGCATGCCCTTTAGAATAAGGGTAAACATTTCTTTAAAGTTAGCTACAATTACCAAAGGTATATTTTTGAAATGGCAGAATAAGGATAACACATTTTTATTTTCTAATACTTTATTCAATGTTTACATATAAGATGAATTTCCACAAATCCAATTTAGTTTCAAGCCAAACCTTTAGTGAGTCAGTTGCTCAAAAGATCATCGATTAGCTCCAGACACAGGAGGCTATTTAGTCTGGTTTTTTAATTTACCACATTTGAGTTACCTGAATACACATCTGTGGATGCAATTAAAGATAACACTTGCATAACAGGTGGCATAGTAAAAAAAGAACATTATGTGGAAATTAATAAGTAATATGGCTAAGTATCAGCCAGGAAGTTAAAGCTTAGACACAAGTTGGTCTTAATTGAAGGTGACCAAAAGCATACCTATAAATTATTAACAAAGTGAATTAGAGACATTAAAGCCATTTGTTTGGAGTGGCCATCCCATTCCCATCTGGTTGGTTGGACAACAATTACAGATAAAGGATTCACTAGATAAAGGATTTAATGTTTTATTTGGAAACACTTTCACATACCTTTGCAGACTGCAGGGTCTGAAAATTCAACACCACACAGAACAGAGCCGAGCCTTTGCCGTTATACAGATGGTCTCTGTTGGCCTCTGACTTTTTCCATAGTATGTTCCTGTATGCAGGAGGAGATGCTGAAAATCTTAGCAAAGCCTCCGTTTGCCTCACCATCAGAAGTGTTGAAGGATAAATGCACACCTTTATAACCTTTACCAAAGGTCTGTCCTTGATCCATACTTGATGAATAAGGCTACACATCACAATAGAAACTTTGGAGCAGGTGGGCTACTTGTTTTCATTTATTCGATGCAGGATTTCTCTAAGATAAAATGTCCCCCTGCACTACAAAAAAAAATAAAAAAATTAAACCTAAGTACCGGTAAGTAAATTTTTCTTAAAGCAAGTTTATTATTTCTTGAATTGAGCAGATATGAGTGTCACTTTTCCCGTGGATTAAGACAATTTACATTTAAAATAAGAAAAAAAGAACTGCAGTCTCTTATCTGAAGTGCATAAAAACTAATTATCATATTTTAAATGTAAAAATACTTATTCCATTGTCAGATAATCTCAGTTCCCTACTCAAATTAAGGGTAAATACACTTATTTTAAGAAATCTTTACTCATTTTCAGAACGTTTTTACAGTGTGGAGCACATCAATTTATGACAGAAAATCTCAACGTTCTGGTAAGAGTGAATTATGCATAGGCCTGCCCGTGGATTACATTACCTTAACACATTTCTTCACACTGTGTAACTGACTGCATCTTTTATCAACAAGGGGCAAAGTGGCAAGCCTCCGGGCATGACCCCCAAACCTGTTCCTCCCTGGATCCCGTCTAAAGTAGGCCTTCCTTTCTTTCAATTAAAGGCCAGATTTTCTGCTGAAGTGAATTCTGGGAATAATAGAATGTTCTTACAAAGAAAAATATATGAAAAATAGCTGTTGATTGACAATGATTTAAATGCCAGATGCTGTTTATGATAAACATAGTGATCCGCAATGTTAACATAAATATATTAATCTTGAGATACATTAAGAGCCTCCACTGGTCCCTTTTAACTTAATAGTTCTTCATTTGAGAAAGATGAAACCTCATATAGTGTGGTGTTTTTGATTAAGAGAACTGGTTAGGAAGTTTGTATTTTAGGCTATCAGGCATTTTCTTAAACTGTTAGTGTTTGCTAAATCAACAAACCCATTATTAGTCTAGAAGAAAGAATAAGCTTGATGATTACACCTGGCTTGAGGTAGCTGCACCCCAGGAGCCTGGCTAAGCATTTGTGGAACGCATGAAGCCAGGTTGCACTACTTAGGGTAGGTCAAGCCTGACTTTACCTCTTATCCTGGATTTTCTGAATTCAGCTTTTGTGAAATAAGAGCAGTCACGAAAAGGTCCGCAATAAAAAAAAAAAAAAAAAAAAACGAGGCAACAATCGGCTTCACCATTTTTCCAGAGCTCTGTATGTTTCCCTTTTGTAACGATCTTGGTTCTGTTGGTTTTCTCTAAGTTTTCAGTTTCTGTCACGATTTGTTTGAAGGTTTTTTTGACGACCCAAATGCAGAGGCTGAGAGGCAGTGGTGAGCTCTTTGAAGATTTAATGGGATACACAGGTAGCAAAAACAGGGTTCCAAAAAATCCAACTTAAAAATGTTAAACAAAAACAGGTATCCAAAAATCCAACATAAAAATAAAACACAAACCAGAACCATGGAGACATCAGGGGAAAACCATCACAAGGAGCCAGGGTGAGACAAAGTAAGACGAGGAACTGGCACTGAGGGACTGCAGAGGGAGTGTGTTTATGGCTGACTGAACAAAGGCAGGACTAACAAGCTGATAAGGAGCAGGTGTGAGTAGAGGTGACAAGGAAGCCAAGGGAAAAGGAAACACAAGGGGACAACAGAGGACAAGGAAAGAAAAACCTAAGAAACTTAAATAAATCCAGAACACACCAATAAAGCTAGAAAACAAAGAAAAACATAGGCCTGCTATGGATAAAGATGAATTGGTTTGTATTTCCAATACAATAGAGGGCATGAAAGCAGCTTTACAAAAAACCCACATCAAAATTCTCCTCTCAATATTCTGCAATTAAGTAGACACTACCACAGATTAGAGCTATGTGTGTGTGTAATAAGCTTAAAAATGCATTGACAAAGATAGGCAAGCTGCTATATAAGTTATTTTACAATTTTCAGTCAACAACCAACTAATGCAACAAAAAAACAGAACAAATGTCTAATCAAACTACACCATGCACAAAAGGATTGTGGGCTGGATAGGGCTCTTTAAAATAAAATAAAAAAGTTAGACCAAAAAAAGTTCCTCTTGTTAACTGCAACTATTTTCATCACTTTAGTGAAGCAGATACTTTAGAAAACTCTCACAACCAGTAAATTTGGGTGTCCGTTCTTGGCAGACAGATCATCTTCTTGTTACATAGTAAATATGATTTTTCCTCTTGAAGCAGCCACACTTAAAACAGGGACAAAACCAACCTTTAGACCAAATATCAATACAATAATTCTTTAGCCTTCTTGGCACCAAATACTACAGCAAAAACCTCACCTTTAACATGATGATTATGATTATGATCAGGAGCAGAAATCCCAGTACTGCTGCAGTCATAATGATCACCAATCTATTCGGCGGCACAATGAACTCAACCAGAACACTAGCCTGTTAGCAGAGGGAGAGAAAAGCAGTTATGCCTTACAAATAAACCATTAATTTGTATTTGAAAATAGCTACCAAGAAGAGTTTTACATACTTTTTTCTTTGTTTTATTGTTGTCAGTCTGGTTCTTCTTCTGAAACCAAAACTAAGATTATAATTACCTTCATTATCTTTAACTTGGTATAACAGCAGTTCAACTAATACATACCTCATGTTTGGGAGAATCCAGCACGTATCTACCAGAATCATAGTCAATTTGTATAAAGCTCATAAAATTGACCTCTCCCTCTACTCCTGTATATCGTTTCAGAATGGGCATATCCTTTAAAGCAAAAGCAGGACAGTTAAAGGACATTTTTTTTAGATATGTGGGGTGCATTTTGTCTTAACTTGGAGCAGTACATACTGATAAATAGTTGTTAAAATTTCCGTAATGTACATCTCCTTCCAAGGAAAAGTGAACGTCTGAATAATTCTTCAAAGTAAAAGTATTACATTCCATGGTAACACAATCTTTTCCCTGAGGGCAGTTCTGCAACAAGACAGCACCTCATGTCACCCAGTGACTAATCCATATTATGATTACAGGTTTTAAGCCTGAATCTGTGACACTAACCTCAGACTTTTGGGTGGAAATGACTGAGCACGCAGTTTTGTTCTTAAAAACAATAAAAATATATTAAAAGCTTGCATGTAGGACACACACAGGAGATGAAATAAGAAAAATTGTGGTATTAAGTGAAATTACCGGCTTGACAACAACTCTATAGTTTTGTACTTCAAAGTTGTGTTCCAGTTTACTTGGGAAAAACAGTGAAACGCTGATGGGAAAATCCTTAAAACCAGTGTTCTGTATCTGTAAGTAATGGGTAACCGCATCATAGCAAAGATGGGAATTTGAAAAAATATTTTGCTTCAAAGTGATAAAACTGAATGGTACTTTAAGCCTCTTACATCGTATATAATAACCATTCTTTGTGGCTCATAGTTTTCCGGAGTGAATTTCAACTCACTGACAGATGAATCACCTCTAAAACAAACAACAACAACAAAAAAACAATTATTGCAAGGGCTGGATTATAATACTGAAATACTGCTGATTACTGTCATTCTACTTACAATGCTATTGCCATTCTGACTGAATATTTAACAGGAATAACTTTGGTCACAGAAAGCGTCTTGTTGGGGTTAGAATTTTTACTAAGAATGCAAACGGAAAAAATCGTGTTAAACATAAAGAAAAGCTGAGTGCTCAGCAAATCTTTGGCTTCCTTTTGAAACGGGTTGTTTGTTATAAACTTTACCTTTCTGCAGTGACTGTCATCGACATTGTGTCATTCCACTCAAAATCTTTTGCGATATGAAAAGTAGCATTGAAGGTGGCCTTCAATGGGACAAGAGAAAATTACATTAGATCAGGCTCTGGGATCAAGGCAGGCAGTTGACCTAGTCATACAGAGCTCTTCATAATCTCAGTTGTGTCTGTGATGAGGTTATATGGCTCTGGATTAGGAATCCAGTTTGTGTGGGTTGTTTATGTGTTTCCTCTTTCTCCACCACCAGGTGGTGCACCGTCCACGTTGGGCCTCCCTGCACACCTGCGGCTCGTTGGTTCATTACTGGAGGACTATTTGAGCAGTGGGCTGTCACTACCTCGACGCCAGAGTGTTTGCCAGTTTTGGGTACTCTAGCCAAGCTGAGATTAGCAGAGTCTAACCTAGCTTTGTTTCTCTGAGACTTATGTGTTTTTGTCTTTGCTCTTCGGCAGAAAGCCTTCCTGTGAAAACTGGATACCTGGACCTTCTCCCCCTGGAAGGATTTACTGAGATCACACTAAGCAGGCGAAAACCTCCACATGATCCGTTCAAGTTCCCATCAGAAAGTGACAGTCTGCTCCATTACTCCTCCGGGTTTAACGTATGTCTACCTGTCCGCTCTCCAACGCATTCCCTCTTCTCTGGATAAACCCACACAGACTGGATTAAACGATTGAAAAGAGCCCTCATATATTGTGAGTCCCTCTCCTGCATAATTCTAGCTGCAGTCTTGTTTCCCACGGTCCCTGAACTGCTCTCTGTTCAGATTACATCAAATAAACCTGTTAAACTTTTCCCCTTGTTCTCTGAGTGGTTTCTCTGCATGTGGGTCAGATTCCTTAAACTGATCATGACACTGTGGTTTGACTCACAGATGATTTGCTGAGAAACACAGGGGAACTGATCCCACAAATGGTTTTGTTCGGCACTCCGGTTTCTTGGGGAAGGCAGTTTTGATCTACTTTGTTGGTCTGCTGGGAGAAGAGAACAAAAAAATAAACAGAATTTAGCTGCTTTAGAGCTTCAAGTTGATGTAAAAAAGGGAAAGAGCTTGTATCTTTGAGAAAGTGCATTTAAGAATAACCTAAGCCTGTCTGATGTGCTGATGGTTCAAACTAGTGAAACTGCCTCAAGCATCGGACTTTGTACAATTTTGAGAGTCCTGTAGATTATCAGTCAACAGCGGTTTATTATGCTGGTAGTCCAATAAAGCTGTGAAGTAAGAAATAATGTAAACAAACTAGGCCATTCTGAAGATTAAACATCTAGCTATCAGCACTAACCAGACAAATAGTGGTAGAGGTTTATTCAAGTTGTTTCCTTCTGCATGTAGTGAAAACAGAAACACTCTCTAATCCTTTATTAACCATTTGAGATTTTGAGTTCATAACTTTGAGTTTTAAATTATTGCCCATGATTAGATGTTTTAACTGTATTTATATTGTGAGATAGCAATTCTAACCATGACAGAAGTTATGAAAGTACCAGTTAAAATCATTAAAACAATTAATCCCTATAAGATGCACTACAGTTTTAAATTCGTAAAAACTGTTCATAAGTTTAATAAGGTATGATTATTATTTCTTTGTTGCACAATACAAAGAAAAAAAGAAAAAAAAAGGAGAAAATAAAACAGAACAGAGAGACAGGTGACAACTTATCTTAAAGGGGTCATAGAATGATTATACAGGGTATTTGGTGCTGGTCCTTAAGGTCTCTGAATAGGGTGTGTAACATTGGTTGGGCTGAAAATGGCATATTTGCTGTTTCATACTCCCTAATGCACGCCTGGTTAAAAGCCCTAGAATGAAACGACAGGTTTTCTTCCTTTTATGGTATGATCATGAATATTTAGATGAACTGTGTGCTGATTGGTTGGTTTACAACGAGCGAAGCTGCTGAGCAAAGACACATCATAGCAACAAGCACTCATTGAAACATCAAATTGTTAATATGGTTGGGTGACCAGACGTCCTCTTTTTCCTGGACATGTCCTACTTTTCATACCTAAAAAAATGTCACCATTTTTTTCCAGAAATATTGATCATGAATTGCTTTTTTAATTACTTCTGTTGGCTCCATCTTTGCGAAGGAGAGGCCTGGAGGATAGTGGATTGACAGGCTGGTATCATATGAGTGATCACCATTATTATCCAGGGTTATCAATATGATGAAGCGATTATTTTCTCTCACCAATAACTCCTTAGACCTAAAAAAAGTGGATGCATTTTTAAAATTCTAGTTCAGTTTGATTTAAACAAATCAATAACTTTGTGTTTTAAAACACAAACCTGAATTTAAAATCCACTTTAAGATCCGGGATGCAGAATTCTTTATCGCAATACTTTTCAAAAGGAACCTGTAATAAAAAGAAATCAGATATATGCCTGGAAGATTTTATTTTATTTGTTATCTTTAAAATTGTGCCAGTTTTATTGACAGTTGTCCGCTCATTTTAGTTACTGTGCGTACCTTAATCACAGCCTGCTTTTTGCTGTCTACATTCAGAACGGCTCTTGCATCGTCACTGCCGGCTTGCAAAAAGTTTAATTTGATGATGACAGGGGATAACGTGTCTTTTCTGCAAAACAAAAATTATGTGTAAAAATAATAAACAAAACAAAAAGATTAATTTGAGTAAAATTTATTTCAAATAAATCTATTTAATATAAATCTTAATCATACCTCCATGAAAATAGAATAGTTGAAACATGTTTCCTTCCCAGTCAGCTCATAGGTATACATGATATTTCTGCTTGTCCTTTCATTGTCCTGGAAGAAACCTCGATGTTTTTGCCTCATTGGATCCACATTGAGCATCAGAGAGATGTTGATTCTTGGTTCTGCAGTGGATAACTGGGGCATTACAATGACCAAAGGACAGCAGCTTTTGGTGAAAATCCAATTTTATTTTTCCCACCTGCTTCGATTTGTGTTACTTCCACCATTTCAAAGCACACTTTCACAATAACCATTGGTAAAATCGTGCCCTTCTCCAAGCAGGTAGTCTTCACAATGCTTATCATATTAGGATAAAATGACAGATCAGCCATGACATCCAGGATGGGTTTGGACCTGGAAGATACCAAATAAATAGGCTCATACTGCATTAAGGAGTAAAACAAGAAAGCAATGTTAATAGTAACTCCTTCAAAGGGGTTAGGAAAGGCTAAAAGCATTAAACCTCACTTACAATAAAATTTCTTATAGACATTCAAATCTGAGCTGCAGTCCACCTTATGAATGGGGTATACTGTGACCTTTCTTCTCCCAAATTTGCATTTTGCATTCACACAGAAAACTATATTTACCCTTAATGGAATGGAGACTTTTCTATTAACAAAGACCAGTTAAAATTTGCAAGGCAGTTCTTGACAGATCATTTATATTGATAAATGCTGATAAACTGATAATGTGACTGCTGTTTATGTTTGCCATGATCTGCTGATTTGTGCTATATTGAAGTGCTCCTTTGTTGCCTATCTAGGAACTGGTCTTAAGTTTGGACAGTCACAGCTTGCTAGAACACAAGGCAAGCCGCAATATCATTCAGAGCAAAGATTAACAAAACCCTGGGTGAGCTGAAACTATGGACTAGGAGTACTTTTGAATTACTTACACCAATTTATACTTCCTAAAAATGGATGCCATATGAGTCCTGGGATTTGATACATATCTCTACTAATATGAGGTGGTTATACATAAATACAAGAGTTTTTAAGTTGCTTTACAGTGTATACCCTCCATATCACATAGATTAAACAACTGCAAGAGGATAACAATTTATTTTAAAGCCTTGTTTAACTCAGTGTTATGGTGCATTAGCAAAGCTGTACCTTAAGACAACCGCAGCACCTTGTGATCCCACCACAATATCTGGCAGCCCATCATCTCCGAGATCAATATCTCCGTTGATGGATTGACCAAAGAACCTCAACCCAGGTTCGAAATCTGCTCCTGTGATTCTCTGGAACAACAAATGCTTAAATATTCTTTTCTGGTCTCAGTCACATAAAACATGCTTTTCCCCCCTAAACATTTGCCTACAAAGTTGTGAGGTGGCAAAAGATTAAAGCAGCAACAGGACATCAGCAGTTGCATATTTATGGATATATCCACTGATAAAACAGATAACAGACTAGGCCATTCACCAAAAGGTTGACTTGTAGACTTAAATAGGCCGAGTCAACTCACATCTGCACAACTCAAAAGTTGACAGAGATCTAGAGAAGGCTGAAGAACACAAAAGAGCACAAAGCAGCCTGGAACACACAGGAGTCCTTTCCACTAGACCGGTGCTGGAGATATCTTGGCACTGGAGCAAACAAAGCTATACATTTATCGGTTTCAATCGACGAAAGCTCTAGCTCCTGGAGCCAGAAACTGGTGCTACAGTAGCACCACTTTTATGTTGAGCTAAACAAGAGTTTAGCACCAATTACGTCAGGTGGAAGGGGTGGAATTTACTACAGCGTGCACATGAGTAGCACCACTCTGCAAGTATGTACAAAGACTGTCTCTGTTTGAATGAATTTCTGATGCACATGTGGATGCAGTGATGTGGCTATGAGTTGGCTGTGAGCTGGCTTCTAGTATCTCTTTTAGCTCTGGTTCCTGTGAGGACAGAAACGCCTAAAAGGGGACCTCAGGTAGTGAAGCACAGTGCATTTCTACTTGTACACCTTTGTCAGGGACTTCGGCAACTAGGGTCGAAGGGGGCAGCAGCAGCTTAATGCGAGGACAAAGCCTGGAGACCCTTGAGGAGACACTGTAGGTGGCTACAGAGAGCGTGAGGACTAGAACTTTGAGGAGATATGAAGTAGGCATTTGAACTAAAAAATGCAGAGTCTGATTCAGTGCAAATCAGCCCAACGTGCTGGATCCATAAGTCTCACCCTGGAGCAGTCAAGCAGATAAATCTTCTTTTTTATTGTCAGTTAGCAAACATCTTTAGAGGTACATAACATCAGCTACTGTAGATGAGTGTATAACTCTTAAGCGCCTATCCACTATGCTCTGTGTTTCAGATTTTTGTTGGGTAAAAATGAAAAAATGGTGTTCATAATACTGAGGCAACTTTTACAAAGCAGGTTTAACAAATTCATACTCAAATCCTAAACTCTGGATTGATTTAGCCTAAGGTTGGAAATTCTGAGTTTTTGGTTTCACAACAGCTGCGGTGAGTAAGTTTAATCAACCCTGTGTAGGTTCACTCAGAATCAAGCACATGCATAACAATTATGAAAAGCCATTATAATATCTGAAATGCATCTCTTCCTAGTCAAAATAATACAAGTTATGACCAGTAACAATGGGAATATGGAGATCTTCATTTTAGACATCCAGATTGTTCTGTCATGATGCGCAGGTTTTACTAGCCCAAATGCAGAACTCACGGAGACAGAGGGAGGATTAAAGTCCAATATTTATTGGGTGAACAGAGTTCTGCCTGGAAGGCAGAAAGGACAGAGCAGGTTAGGTTCAGGTTACAGGTTCACAGAGTCAGAAACAGGCAGGGTGGCGCAGAAAGGACAACAATCCGGCTACGGGTGGAGCTCCTCCACAGCTAATATAGGGAGAGCTCCTAATCAGCTGATGGGGAACAGCTGTCAACGCTGAACCCAAGCTCCCCAGGAATAGATCCACGGCCCACTCTGGTGGGCAAGGCCCCGGATCCTAACAGCACCCCCCCCTCAAGGGCGGATTCCAGACGCCCCAAAGTAAAAGACCCCCAAAAAATAACTCGCCCAGGGTGGGCGAAGGGTGAACCAGGGATGCAAGGCAGAGTCTCAGGTGGCCGGCCGTGGGACCGGCAGCAGGACAGAGTCTCAGATGGCCGGCCGGTGAAACGGAGCTGAAGCAGACGCTCCGGAGGCCGGCCGCGGGACCGGGGTCTCAGAAGCTGCAGAGGCCTTGGAGGAGGACGCTGTCTCTGCTTCTGCAGGAAGCTCGGAGGAGGACGCCGTCTGTGCTTCTGCAGGAAGCACCGAGGAGGATGCCGTCTCTGCTTTTGCAGGAAGCACCGAGGAGGACGCCGCCTCTGCTTTTGCAGGAAGCTCCGAGGAGGACGCCGTCTCTGCTTCTGCAGGAAGCTCCGAGGAGGACGCCGTCTCTGCTCCTGCAGCCCTGCATCATGCTCAGACAGGACCGCCCACTGCGGCTCCGAATCAGGAACACCGGAAGCCACCGACTGTGGCTCCGCATCAGGAGCAGAGGAGGCCGCCGATTGCGGCTCCGCATCAGGAGCAGAGGAGGCCGCCGATTGCGGCTCCGCATCAGGAGCAGAGGAGGCCGCCGATTGCGGCTCCGCATCAGGAGCAGAGGAAGCCACCGACTGTGGCTCCACCTCAGGAACAGAGGAAACCACCGACTGTGGCTCCGAATCAGGAACTGAGGAAGTCGCTGATTGCGGTTCCAAATCAGGAACACCGGAAGCCACCGACTGTGGCTCCGCATCTGGAGCAGAGGAGGCCGCTGATTGCGGCTCCGCATCAGGAGCAGAGGAAGCCACCGATTGTGGCTCCACATCCGGAGTCTCTGGAAGTCGCACAGCGGGCTCAGGGGTCTCCAGACAGCATAGAGCGGGCTCAGGGGTCTCCAAACGGCACAGAGTGGGCTCAGGGGTCTCCA